GAAGATGTAGTGGTTTGAATACTTATTCAAATATATAGTGGAACTCTCTGAAAGGATTAAAAGGATTAGGAGGTGTGTCCTTGTTGGAGGTGGTGTATCTCTGGAGGTGGGTTTTGAGGTTTCAGAAGCCCCTGCCAGGTCCAGTGTTTCTCTGCCTACAGAACAGGATTTAACTGTCAACCACTTCTCTAACACCACACCTATCTGCCACCATCCTCTCTGCCATGACGATAATGAACTAAGCCTCTGAAACTGTAAACAAGTCCCCAATTTAATGCTTTCTTTTATAATAGTTACCTTGGTCATGGTGTCTTCTCACAGAAAAAGAACCATGACTAAAACAATAGACTATCGTATCTCTTGGGTATATACCCAAGAACGCTAAAGCTCGATCATGTGGTAGATCTATTTTTATTATTTTTTCTGAGGAATTTCACAGTGGTTGTACAAATTGACACTCTCACCAGCGAATATGTTTCCCTTTTTCCACATCCTTGCCAGCATTTGTCATTTTTTTTCGTAGACATTCTGATTTATGTAAGAGGAAATCTCAAAGTAGTTTTAATTTTCATTTCCCTGATGGCTAAAGATCTTAAATGTTTTAAAAATATTCCGTAGACATCTGTATTTCCTCTTTGGAAAACTTTTTATAATTCTATACTGCATTTTTATTGAGTTGTTTGTTTTCTTGATGATTAGTGTTCTAAATATTCTAGATACAAATCCTCTGTCAAATGGATAGCTAGTCAACATTTCTTCCCCATCCTGTGGTGGTCGTCATCTTCCTCTTCCTCTTCCTCTTCCTCCTCCTCCTCCTCCTCCTCCTTTTCCTCCTCCTCCTCCTCCTCTTTTTCTTCTTCTTCTCCTCCTCCTCCTCTCAAGTGATGGCATTCCTTGTTGTACAGAATATTTTTAGTCCCACGGGGTCTCACTTATTAATTCTTGGTTTTAATGTCTGTCAGAAATCCCTTTCCTGTGTCAATGAGATCAAGTATTCACCACTTTTTCCTCTATCAGATTCGGGCTATCTGGTATTATGTTGAAGTTCTTAGTGTATTTAGAGTTGAGTTTTATGCAGGCTGAGAGGTAAGGATCATCAGGTTCTATTCTTCCTTGTAGCTACCCAGGTTGATCATCTGACAAAACAATTTCTTGAAGTTGCTGTCTTTTCTCTAGTGTGTATTGTTCATTTCTTTGTCAAAAATCAGATGATTTGGAGTTGGAGAAATGGCTGAGATTAAGAAAACTAGTTCCTATTCCAGAGGTCCTGAGTTCAATTTCCAGCAACTGTAAGGTGGCTCACAGCCACTTATAATGAGATCTGGTGCCCTCTTCCAGTGTGCAGGCATGCATGTAGGCAGACCACTGTATATATAATAATAAATAAATCTTTAAAATATACTAGGTGGTTATAGGAGTGTGAGCTTATGTGTGCATCCTAGATTCTAATCTATTGAATGAGTCAGCTTTCCCCCCCTAAGACAGGGTTTCTCTGTGTAGCCCTGGCTGCCCTGGAACTCACTCTGTAGAATAGGCAAGCTTTGAACTTAGAGATCCACCTGCCTCTGCATCCTGGGTGCTTTAAGTGTACGTGCTACAAACCTGGATGAATGAGTCAGTTTTTATGCCAGTGCCAGGTTGTTTTTATTATTATATCTCTGTGGTGTAATTTGAAATCTGGGATGATAATACCTCTAGCAAGTTTTTTTTTTTTTAAGATTGCTCAAGATTGTTTAGGGTATCCTGGGTCATTTGTGTTGCCATATGAAATTTAAGATTATTTTTGTAATTTCTATGAAGAACTGCTTTGGAATTTAATAGAGATTACACCAAATATGTAGTTTGCTTCTGGCAGTATGACCATTTTCATAATATTAATCTTGCCAATCCATGAGCATGGAGCGACCTTTCATCTTCTGGTATCTTCTTCAATTTATTTTCAACGTCTTACATTTTCCATCATGTAGGCCTTTAACTTCCTTGGTTAGATTTACTCCAAGGTATTTCTAGGTGTTTGCTAATAGTATTGTTTTCCTGGTTTGTTTATATGTGTCTTTGTCATTTGTATGTAGTAAAAATATTGATTTTTTACATGTTAATTTCATACCTTGCTGCTTTATTGGATGTATTTATCAGTTGTAGACTTTCTATGGTGAAGCATTGGGGTTTTTTAATGTATAAAGTCATATATTATCTACAAAGGATACTTTCACTTCCTATTTTCCTATTTGTATCCTCTTGATTTCCTTCAGTAGTCTTATTGTTCTAAGACTTCAAGTACCATATTGAACAGAAGGTGGGAGAGCAGACATACTTACCGTCCTCCTGATTTTACTGGACATGCTTTGAGGTTTTCTCTGTTTATCAAGATATTGTGGTTAGAGGTTTGTTAATTGCCTTTTTATGTTGAGATATGTGCCTTGTTTGCCTAAATTCTTCAGGGTTTTTAGCATGTAAGGATGTTTAATTTCGTCCAAGATCTTTTCTATATCAAATGAGATGACCATGTAGTTTCTGTTCTTGAATCTATTTATATGGTAGATTACATTTATTGATTGATGTGGATTGAACCATCTCTACATCTTTGGAACAAAGCTATACTGGCTGGTTTTTTGTGTCAACTTGACACAAACTAGAGTCATCAGGGAGGAAGGAGCCTCAGTAAAGGAAATACCTCCATGAGATTCTGCTGTAAGGTATTTCTCATTTAATGATCAGTGGGTGAGGGCCCATGGTGGGTGATGCCGTCCCTGAGCTGTGGCCCTGGATTCTATAAGAAGGTGGGCTGAACAAGCCACGGGAAGCAAGTCAGTAAGCAGCACCCCTCTGCATCGGCATCTGCCTCCAGGTTCCTGCTCTGCCTAAGTTCCTGTTCTGAATTCCTTTAGAGATAAACAGCAATGCTGAAGTGTGAGTCAAATAAACCTTTTTCTTCCCAATTTGCCATTTGGTCATGGTGTTTTGTGGCAATAATAGTAACCCTAACTAAGATAAAAGTTGGTACCAGGGACTGGGGTATTGCTGTGATAGGCCTGATCGTGTGTTTGTTTGGAGGAATTTAGACTTTGGTACTTTGCGTTATGAAAGCAGTGGAATACTTTAAGAATTGCTTAATGGGCCATAATAGTAGAAGCATGGAAAATAGAGATACAAAGAATTACTTGAATTGTCAGGAGTTTTCTCAAGATGTTTCAGAGGAGAAGAATTTTAGTATGTTGCATAGAGATCATTCTTGTGGCTGCCTTTTGCCCTTGTCTGAAGAGTCTGCATGAGACTAAACTTCAGAGTTTTGGATTAATTCTGTTGGCAGAAGATTACACAAATCAGACTAGTATAGACTCTCTTGTGTGGCTACTAGTGGTAACTCTAATGGAAATTTATAAAGAAAAGGAGCAAACTTGCAGAGTAAATTACAAAAAGTAAATTTTGAGGAGAAGAGCACCAGGAAGTGGTATGAAGGTAAATCCTGTGTTCAAGGAGATAAACAGATTAAGAAATGGAATAAAGGGAGTGGTGACCTAAGGGTTTAGAGTTAAGGATAGAATAAAGGAGTTATGAAATAAAGCTGCAGAGGCCAGACATGTGTCAGGGGTGTCCCTGAATTGAGGCCTAGTAAAGAGGCCATTGAGTGAAGCTGTGAAGCTGAAGACTGGATTGCTTTGGAGAACCCAAGATGTTAGAGATGCCAAAGTTGTGGGATATGTGCCAAAGAGAGCTGCTAACAGGGGGGGGTGGTGGTGGAACCAGCCCAAGAGAAAGAAGTTTGTTGCAGTCAATGAAGCTGAACAGAATTGGAAGCCTGAAGAGTGTTTTGACATCAGACATGGAGCTTCAGAGCTTGGAGTTTGCTCAGATGGTTTTGGGTCTTGCTTTGGTCCAGTTCTTTCTCACTATGCTTCCTTCCCTACATTTTGGAACAGTAATGTATGTGTCATTATATGTTGGACGTATGTGATTTGTTTGTTGATTTTGAATTTTACAGGGGATTACAGTAAAGAGATTGCCATGTGTCTCAGAAGAGACTTTGGATTTTAAAACAAGTTGGAGACTGTTATAGATTATGGGGACTTTTGAAGTTAGAGTGAATGAATTTTTTTTTTTTTGCATTATGATATGGCTATATGTCTTTGGGGGCCAGGGAGTAGAATGTGGTTTGGAAGAAAGTGTCCCCCGAAGGGAGTGGCACCGTTAGGAGGTGTGACCTTGTTGGAGGAAGTGTGTCACTGTGGGGGCAGGTTTTGAGGTCTCTTTTGCTTAAGGTTCTCTTAGCATTACTTACGGTTGACTTCCTGTTGCCTGCAATATGTAACATTCTCAACTCCAACACCAGGTCTGGTTGCACACCACCGTGCTCCCCATCATGATGATAATGTACTAAATCTATGAAATTGTAAGTTATCATTCCAATTAAATGTTTTCTTTTTAAGAGTTGCTGTGGTCATGGTGTCTCTTTACAGCATCAGAAACCTAAGACAAATTGGTACCAGGAGTGGGATATTGCTGTGATGGACCTGCCCATGTTTTTGGGAAGATTGTAGAAGGACTTTGAACTTTGGGCTAGAAAAGCCACTGAGTATTGAGACCTTACTGGAATGTTCTCAGGGAACTTGGAAGATAAGAATATTGAGAAAAGTGCAGAGGATGGAGGCCTGGCACAGGTAAAATTTCAGAGGGAAATTTAAAGACTCTATCAAGGCCATTTGTTATTTTGAATTAAGATCCTATAGTTCTGGTTAGCTGGAACTGAAGAATCAGATGTGATTAACAAGATACAAGAACTATTAAAGCAAAACTTTGCTGGGATACTGAATGCTTGTTGGCTGGAGTTAAGAAATTAGCAGTGATTAAGAAGAAACCAGCATCACTGAGGTGAAATATTCTGGGAAGTGTTTCCTGAGAACACAGAGAAACTGTGTTCCAGAGGTGACCAAGGTTCTACTGGCCGGCAGCCAGACTTAGTAATGTATAAATGTTGACCAGATGGTACTGGTTTTGGAGGCATGCAGAGGTCATAGAGAACAGCTGAAGCTTGGCATTTTGAGAAGCCAAGTAAATCCACTGGTAAAGGTGCAGCCTCAGGGGCAGTTTGAAGAGGACATGCAGAGAAGTTGCGGTTTGGCACGATGAGGAGAGCCTAGGAGAGGCTATTGGTGAAAGTGCAACCCAGTTGTAGCAGAAGACTCATGTGTTTTGGAGATACAGCTACCATGGGAAGACCTCCAAGAACAACAGTCACAGTGGAGTTGAACAAACTGGAGCCTAAAAGATGAGTTGTGTGGGCTGCAGAGGGCAGAGCAGAGAGGTGACCAGAAGATTAGGAGTAGCCCAGACATCAGATGGTGGGAATTTTGTTTTGCTTTTGTTTGATTGTGATGAAAAGACTTTGGATTTTAAAGGAGATTGGTTACTTTAATATATTTGTGTTTGTAAAGACTATGGGGCTTTAAAAGTTATTTATGTTCTTTCTTTCTTTTTATATTTTTTTAAAAACAATCTTTCTTCATTTTACATACCAATCCCAGTTCCCACTCCCTCTTCTCCTCTTGCTCCCTCCACCATACCCCCCCTCTGACTCATCCTCACCCACTCCTCAGAGAGGGTAAGGTCTTTTATGGGGAGTCAACAAAGCCTAGCATATTGCTTTGACACAGGACAAAGGCCCTCCCCCCCATATCTAGGCTGAGCAAGGTACCCTTCAAAAGAGAATGGACTCCAAAAAGCTGGTTCATGCACTCGGGTTAAATCTTGGTCTCATTGCCAGTGGCCCTACACACTGTCAAACCACACAACTACCATCCACATTCAGAGTGCTTAGTTTGGTCATATACAGGTTTCCCCGCTGTTAGTCTAGAGTCAGTGAGCTCCCACTAGCTTAGGTCAACTGTTTCTGTGAGTATTTCCCTTATGGTCTTGATCCCTTGGTTCATATTATCGCTCCTCCCTCTCTTCAACAGGACTTTGGGAACTCGGCCCAGTGCTTAGCTGCATCTGCTTTCATCAGTTACTGGATGAAGGCTCTATGATGACAATTAAGGTAGTCATCAATCTGATTACAGGGGTAGGCCAGTTCAGGCACCCTCTCCACTAATGCTTAGGGTCTTATCTAGGATAAGGTATCTGTGGACTCCTGGGAATTTCCCTGTGCCAAGTTTATTGCTAACCCCATAATAGTTACCTCAGTCAAGGCATCTCTTTCCTTACTCTCCCTCTCTATCCTTCCTCCATCTCGACCATCCCATTCCCTCATGTTCTCCTCCCTCTTTTGCTACCCCCTCCCTCTTCCTATCTAACCTCCCTTCTTCACTGGCCCCATGTTCCCAATTTACTTAGGATATCTTGTCCCCTTCCCAGAGAGATTCACATATGTCTTTCTCAGGGTTCACCTTGTTACCTAGGTTCTTTGAGGTCATGGACTATAAGCTGATTACCCTTTGCTTTATGTCTAATATCCACTTATGAGTGAGAACATTCTATATTTGTCTTTTTGGGTCTGGGTTATCTCACTCAGGATGGGATTTTCTAATTTCATCTATTTGCCTGCAAATTTCAAGATGTCATTATTTTTAACTGCTGAATAGTACTCCATTATGTAAATGTACCACATTTTTTTTTTAAATCCATTATTTGATTGAGGGACATCTAGGTTGTTTCCAGGTTCAAGCTAATACGAGTAATGTTGCTATGAACATAGTTGAGCAAATGTCCCTCTGGTATGCATGTGTATCCTTTGGGTGTCAAAGAATTGTATTGCTGGGTCTTGAGGTAGATTTTCCGAGAAACTGCCATACTGATTTCCCAAGTGGCTGTACAGGTTTGCATTTCCACCAGCAGTGGAAGAGTGCTCCACTTACTCTGCATCCTCTCCAGCATAGGCTGTCATTGGTGATTCTGATCTTGGCCGTTCTGACAGGTGTGAGGTGGTATCTCAGAGTTGTTTTGATTTACAGCTCCCTGATGACTAAGGATGCTGAGAATTTCTTGAAGTGTCTTTTTGCCATTTGAAATTCTTCTGTTGAGAATTCTCTGTTTAGATCTATACCCCATTTTAAAAATTGGATTATTTGATATTTTGATGTCTAGTTTCTTGAGTTCTTTGCATATTTTGGAGATCAGTCCTCGGTCTGACGTGGGGTTGGTGAAGATTTTTTCCATTCTGTAGGCTGCTGTTTTGTCTTATTGACTGTGTCCTTTGCCTTACAGAAGCTTCTCAGTTTCAGGAAGTCCCATTTATTTATTGTTGTTCTCAGTGTCTGTGCTACTGGTGTCATATTTATGAAGTGCTTGTGCACTGTGCCCATGCCCTGTGCCCCTGTGCCCTGTTCCCAGGCATTGGAAGGTTACTTCCCACTTTCTCTTCTATCAGGTTCAGTATGGTTGGACTTATATTGAGGTCTTTGATCCATTTCAACTTGAGTTTTGTGCATGGGGATAGATATGGATTTATTTGAATTCTTCTACATGTGGACATTTAGTTATGCCAGCACCATTTTTTGAAGATGCTTTCATTTTTCCATTGTATCATTTTAGTTTCTTTGTCAAAAGTTCATAGGTGTGTGGATTAGTGTCAGTGTCTTCATTTTGATTCCATTGGTCCACCTGTCTATTTTTATGCCAATACCAAGCTGTTTTCTTTAGTATAGCTCTATGGAAAAGCTTGACGTCAGGGATCGTGATGTGTACAGAGGTTCCTTTATTGTACAGGATTGTTTTGGCTATCCTGGGCTTTTTGTTTTTCCATACGAAGTTGAGTATTGTTCTTTGGAGGTCTGTGAAGATTTTTTTCTGGGATTTTGATGGACATTGCATTGAATCTATAGATTACTTTAGATAAGACTGACATTTTTATTATGTTAAGCCTACCTATCCAAGAGCATGGGAGATCTTTCCATTTTCTGGTATTTTCTTCAATTTCTTTCTTCAAAGATTTAAAGTTCCATGTTCCAGCCTTGTTTGAGCTCCTGTCCTGACTTCCTTCAGTGATGAATGGCAATGCTGATATGTAAGCCAAACAAACCCTTCCTCTCCAATTTGCCTTTTGGTTATGGTGTTTCATGGCAGCAGTAGAAACCCTGACTAAGACCGAAGCCTACTTGATCTTGTTGTTTAATCTTTTTGATGTCAGACATGTTTACCAATGCAGTAGACTGGAAGACTCAGGCATAAACGCATACAACTACAGCCACTTAATTTTTAATTTTTAAACAACACTTCAAAAACACTGCAAAACAGAAAGTGTCTTTAAGAGATGCTGCTGGGTTTCTGGGTGGTGAGATGGTCCCATGGTTAACATACCAGACCTGACAACCTGAGTCTATCCCCAGAATGCACAGTTGAAGGAAAGAACTGAGTCCCCAATGCTGCTCTCTGATTTCCACTCACATGCTGTATTGTCAGAACATGGCCAAAAGAATGATGCTTGGTGAACAATGCCTTGGGGACTGCGAGAGAGGCTCCAGAAAAAAAGGCAGAGGGCCTGTTATGTCAAGTACATTTTGTTCCCTGGATTGTTCTTGGATGTGACTCCATGCCTCCTGTGTTAAACATTTACTTGCGATTCATAAGACATGTTTATTTTTGCTGCACATCAGAACATAGCCATAGAACCCAATCTGTTTTGGAGATATTTTATTACACTGTGAAGCTCTGAGACTGTGTTAATAAAATTAACCTTGGATCGGGGGCAGAGTCAGTGACTAGTTGACAAGAATTAGCCGTAGAGAGTAGGAAGATCCAGGAAGACAGATGGAGAAACGCTCTCTTGCTGTGTCTCCGGCCCAAAGGGAGTTCAGCTGGTTGCTTCTTGGCTTCTCTGATCTAGCAGGTTTTTATCCCAACATCTGACTCCCGAGTCTTTATTGGTAACTAGAACAACATAGAAACAAACAGCATCAGTCTGATGAAAGGATATGCCGAATGCCACCTTCAGTGTACCTTGAATCTGGATACGGCTTTCTGCCTCGCTTGCATGCCTTCTCAGAAATACATATGATATATGGTGTTTAAAGTGGTCTGTTCGGAGAAAGTTCAGAGAAAGGGTTACTCTGTTAATATTTATTATGTGCTTGCTGGTGCTTCCATGTTTTTCTGAACTTAAGCAACCTTCCTAGGACCCCTGCTTTCTCTTTTCCATTTGGTTATAAAGGTATACTAAAGCTGAAGTAAAGTTGTCTGCAGCATTAGACTGTAGTTCGCCCGTTCTTTAAGGCCCTCAAATCCCAGGTCTCACAGATCTGCATAGGTCAACGAAAGCCAAAACTGCATTATGTGTGTGCCCATGTCTACACATGGGCACAATAATTAAAATAAATAAAAAAGAAAGAAAACTGGATTTCCATCTGTAGAAAACACTAGATTGATGTTGAAGGGATTAAAGTCTCCCACTTTTACAACTGAATTTAGCTTTTAGTTCTCTGAGAGGGATAAACAGGCTCCTCTCCCAACAAAGGGCCATTTATCAACAAATTACATTCAGAGCCAAGGGAGATGACACAGACTAGGCCGGCAGTCCGTCCCACAATATCTCAAGGACAAGTCCTATAGCCCTATTCCAGGTCACGTCCTACAGCTCCCTGGGCCATGTCCAGACTTTCTCAAACTTGTACAAATATGCCCAAAGATAAAACCTCAGTCAATTGAAAATATACTAATATAACTTACTTAACCAATTACATTTAAGATGACTTCACTGTTCATGAAACTCCCCTTAGCTGTGCTTAAAAAGATCCAATACTCTCCTCTCCGGTGGTCACCAGTTTATGCAAGTAAACCACCCTGCATATGCTGGCATAATAAATAAACCCGTTTGTTGATGGTTTTTGTGAATGACAGTCTTTTATGGGATGACTCATGTACCCTAACAGTGTCTTGTACCTTGGGCAAAAATCTATTCAAGACAAACCTCAGATATTCGTCTATAACGTGAAAATTTTAAATTGCTAGAAGAAAGCATAGATGAAAATATCTTAATATGTAGAAATAGGAAAGACTTTTTTCAACAATGCTCATTTTCAAATACTCATCAACAGCCTCAGCTGCTTATTGTGTGCAACAAATGGAACAATTTGCCAGAGTGAAGAGGTAACCTGAAGAATGGAGTAAAAGAACTTTGCAAAATAAATATCAGACAGGGGATTAATTACTATCATATGTAAAGAACAGCAAATATTAAAAAATAAAAAAAATCAAGTAAATTTTTTTAGTATGTTCTTGAATTTGGTTTGCAATTATTTTATTGGAATATTTGCATCCATGTTCATCAGAAACACTGGCCTATATTTTCTTTTTATTGAGTCTTTGGCTTTAGTATGAGGTTAATACTGATTTGGTAATAAGAATTTTC